AGCCGGGGCCTCCGCCGCCCGACCAGTGACCGGGGCCTGCGGTTTCAAATAACAATCACACATACAGCCACGCATACCCGGCAGCAATTTCATTTCTCTTCCAAAATGCATACATTAACGGATATTTTTTCATAGTTGTAATTATTGCAACATTCATACACCAGTTATGGTTTCTAATTTTTCTTTCATTCGTAAATACTAGAAAAGTTACTATTTAGAATTTCATGCATTCTAACAAATACGATTACAATCACTAGAATTGCAATTTAAAATTAATTCCTAACTTACCTTTATAATAAGAGTTCTAAAGAAGAATATTTATAATACCTATACATGCATGTACACGTGTTAGACAATTGAAAGAAAAATAAACAATTGCTTATAAACGTATATAACTATTAACATGACGTTTATATATATATATATATATATATTATAAATAAAAAGCCTGCCCATTCTCCCGTTTAGCCTATCGGGTAGACAATGCATCCACACGCTCGTAATTCACTCGTAAGCTCGTAATTCACTTTTCTGTTCCGTTCTTTCGCCACGAGAGACGGAGGTGAGGGTTGCAGTCATTAGCATAATTCTGGTCTATTCTGATTTCTGAGTATAGGTCGTAGTGCAGAAACTAACGGTGATAATAGCGCAAACATTTCATTGACTTGTTCCACGTCCTACAATGTCAACATCGGAGAAACTTCGGAATGACTCTGCAGTGAAGGTGTTCATTACGCAATTTGTTCAGAAGGATAAGCAATTTTTAATACAACAAAATTTTCTAAGTTCATGAATTCCAAACTTTTTACCCCATGCTTTTAACCCCATGCGAAAACCCCATAGCGTTTTTTACCCCATGTCGATTGAGCCTACCACCTTCCCTTGATCCATGAAACAAATGTTGAGAAGATGTAATTTATTTTTTGATTATAAAATAGTTATACGACCTAAAACACACACTTCGATTTCGAAATAAACGATCATGTAGTGTAAGGGTTATCATATGTATTTTTTAATTTTTGCCTCCATGTCTATTTTAGGTCACAGAACTATATGCTGAGAAGTTTTCCTGTTTTAAATCGGGACAGTAAAAATTGCCACCCTGTATCCGCGGAACAACCAAGAAAGGTTTACTTTTTTGAGATAACTCAATATCGTCACAAAATCTTCACTTGCTCCACACGGTTTTTCACGAACATGCGTTGCTCAGTGACTGAGGTGTGGAATCCTGTGACAATTCCTAACGGAACCATCACGCTTGTTAAAGGGTGTGCAGTAGAGGGAAAAAATCTGGCTCAGAAATCGTTACCTCCGCTGCCTCCGTTCCAAGGTCCGTTATTCCAGCCTCCACCGCCTCCGCCTCCGCCTCCGCCGCTCCATGGACCTCCGCCTCCGCCACCACCTCCATACGGGCCGTTCCACGGCCCACCACCGCCCCCAGACCAAGGCCCGCTGCCTCCACCACCACCGCCGCCGCCGCCCCATGGTCCTTCAAAACACACAGGGTGGATGTTGTGGCAATTTCTCGTTCAAACTCCTTAGATAGAAATACCAAAAGTCGAAATCGTTGGATTTGGAAATTTAACAGTAATTCTACAGACAATTCCGACAATTCGACATTTCCAGTGCGACGAAATAAACGACACTGGAAGAAACCTAACGAACAATCAAAGTTTCATTCACAGTAAATATTGATAAAATGATTTCTACAAAATTCATACAGACTAATGAGAACACCTTTCCTAAGTGCCTAATTCTGTTGCCTCTGAATTTATACTGTGAACGTGATAACTTTCTGATATAAAAGTGAGTGAAACTGCTGAATGTTATTCTTCACTTTCTGTTCGCATCACAGCAGTTGCCTATAGCGTTTGGCAGTTAACATCGAGAGAAGCTGAAACAATTCAGGCATATTGGATTTGTAAAGTTTTAGCTGTGTAAAAAGGTAATGCTGAATAAATAGGATTTATTACCAATAAAATTATTACTTTCAGGGAAATTATGAAAATACATCCAACAGAAGAAAACAACAGGCCTCAAAAAATGGAAAAAAAAATTGATTCTGCAGTTTTTAAATTGGCCAAAAAGATGGACAAAATACAACGAAGTATACATAGTAATAAGTTGTGAATTTTTGAATTTTTGAATTTTTGAATAAAATATTTTTTGTTTATTAATAAAAGTAAAATATTAATTAATTCTGGCGTATTTAATAAATAAATAATATACATAAATTCTTGGTAAAATTAATTCAATAATATTTGCTGTACAAGTTAATGGTTATTTATGCACCAATGACATTATAAGGGTTCTAGTTATACTAGCAATAAAAAGCCATGTCGTGTTAGGGGTAGAATTTGCTCTTGAAGGAGAAGTGAAAAGGACAGTGAGAAATTTCTTCATTACTTTTAATGAAAAAGTATATGAAAGAAATTTTCATCAATACACATTTAATTTAAGGTACATGTACAGTGCATTTAATGTACACTTACAGTAAATTTAATGTACTCTTACAGTAAATTTAATGCACAAGTATAGTAAATTTAATCTACACGTACATTACAATTTAATTTACACGTATAGTTAATTTAATGAACAAGTACACTAAATTTAATGTACACATACACTAAATTTAATGTACGCGTATTTTAAAGTTAGTGTACGTAAACATTAAATTTAATGTGCGTACATGATAATTACTTTTATATACTTTTACATTAAACGTATTACAGAAATTTCTGACGGTGTAGACATCACATTAAAATAAAGTTGAGATAATATGATTGTGCTCACCTGAACCAGGTCCTCCAGGACCGCCTGGTCCTCCAGAACCACCTCCATGCTGGTAGGGAAAGTAATGATCGCTGCACGGGCGCCATTGTTCAGGCCCGTGTGATCCCACGTAACACCTGTCATCACAAAAATTCATGAGATCCTGACAAATGCACGGAATAATGCGAAATAAAGCTATCGACTTTATTGAGAGCATTTTCAGCATTTTCTTACTATAAAATATTCGACAATTACCAGTTAGTGGATTAAAAAAACATTATTATGTCGAAACGTTGGCGGAACTAATTGTTTCTCAAACCACATTGACTAATCCTATGAACCGATTTTAATTCTTCATTCATCAATGGTCGTGATTATTCAATGGTCATCATTATGTCATTAATGAGAGAAATGATATCATTCTTATTTATTAACGTAAAATCTCATTTTGTAATTACTCAGTAAGTATCCGACTAGTGATTTGAACTTGAGGAAATTGTAGTTATAGAGATTACAATGGCGACAAAGTTACGAAAAGAAATGAATTACTATAGTAAACTTAGAATTACTGTAGAGTTCGAGTTCATGAATTTCCTACCGAGTATTATACTAAAGACTTTCGCCCTTGCGATTTACTGTGCCTTTCATTCTAGGTCGTTTACAAATATAGTGAACATTACAGAATATTAATGATCAACAATAGAAAGAATGTATACAGAGAAATATAATAACTGACTGGAAAATAATTAAAAGCGTTCCTCAATTTTACTGTTTATTTCCTAACTAGTCGCTGAAAAGTTTTTTAATCCATTAGTCAATCAATAAAGTTGCAGAGTTATTTTTAAATTGTAATGGAAATAAAACACATAGCACATTGATTTTTTTAAACGGTAAATGTTCAGGCTTGTAAGTTCGAATAGGACATCATTATGATTTTAAGAGACTATTCTCTTTTGTGAGTCTTAAATGTAAATGTCACGGCCTGCAGCCAGAAACGTAAACACGTAAAATGGAGAATGGTAGTTAGAAGTAGAAAGAAGGTGCGTTGGCGGACATGGAACAAAAGAATATTTTGCATTGGAGAAACCGCAACGTAATAAGCTGCAGAGTTTATATATTTTGACGAATTAATTCATAATTCTTTTTCAGCATCTTAAATATAGAATGTGGAAAACTTGACGCATTTTCCAGGTGTTATTATTTTTCTCGAAACGATGTGTAATTTTGCAAAATGGAGATGTGAAGAAATAATCATTTGGTTAGTATTACTCACCAGTAAGATTATCCATGTTAATTGTCCTGCCTGACAGTAATTTAGAAAAGATGATTATACATTAAAAATCAAAGTTACCTATTTAGTTAGTAATAATTATTAGTTATATTACATATTAATTGAAAATTGTAAAGAAAGGCTCAAAAACTTAACTCGGATAACAAACCTAGAGGAACTTTAGTGAAGGATCAATTACGCTGGAGAATATTTGGCGGCATGAGAGATGCATTATGCATAAGGATGTATTGATAAGTAAAACCAGGAAGCTAATGGAAATAAAATACGTCACTTCCGAAATAAGCTCTTCAGTGTTTAACTAATTAAAGAAAATCGATCGCGTAGCAGACAACATGATAGCTACGCGCTCGAAAAGATCTTAAGATTAAAATATATTGATACTTGAGAACACTTTTTCTTTAACTGTTAGGAGATATCAACCTCACCAGAGATATTATTAATCTTCAGTGTTTAGTTGGGCGTATGGGAGACGCCATAGACTAGGCAAAGTTACCAAAGTTTCGGCCGCCATTCTGCAATTTTCTCAGAAGAAATTACCAAACAAGGTCCCAGCATGACGTCCAAAACGTTAGCATCTGTGCATATACTTTGGTTTTTATTTGTTGGCGCGCGAGGCCTTGTCTTCAACCAGCACTACTCGATACGGTCACGATCAAGCGCCATCTATAGTGGCACGTCCGAGGGCGACGCGACATACCGTGAGATATTCGATTGTGAAGACGAGGCTTCTCGTGCCAAGAAATAAAAATCCAAGTATAGGACACGTCGTTTCCCGGCCAGCCAAGTAGATACCGACTCCGTCCGCGGAAGCCTACGCCTCCAAGCCCTTGAGTGGCCTGTCGGAGGGTCGGCGGGCGGGCCAGGAGCAGGGGTAGTCGCTCACCAGGGGTAGTCGTAGCCCTCGGAGAAGCCGCAGCGGTGGTCGGGACGGCAGCAGTAGTCCCACTGGCCCGCGTCGCCGCCCTCCACCTCGCAGCCCCAGAAGCCGCCCAGGGGCTCGCGCGTGCATTCGGTGCCGTGGCGGCAGGGCCGCCCGGACACCGTGAAGAAGCGCCAAGTGCTGGCCGCGTCGCGCTCCGCTGTAAAACACACGTGCCGCCCGCCCTCAGCCACGCGCCGACCCACCAAGAATCGAGGGGGAGCAGTTTTTAATTCTTTAAAAATTAAATTAAAATAAATTGTTGCAACACGGTCTCAGCCCGCCTTGGGCATTCAGCGTATGTAGAGTAATCCTCTGTTGTCTTTTTATCTCGTCACGTTGTAGTCAGTGCCTTTTTCAGCTCCGTTCGGCGCCGTTAGTAACCGGGGGATCCCATACGGTCACCCGTCCAGGAATGCGCGGTGTCACGAATTACTTAACTGCCTTTACTTCACATAGCGCAGCTAAGCAATTCGGCTTTTCGGACCCCATACAAATTGTTGAGTTTTTTTTTAATTGAAGAAGGGGTGAAAACAACGCCGAAGTATATCGAAGTCTGAAACACTCAGCGTTCAGTTGGAATCATTTACTTTAATTTTTTCTGATTATATTTGCTGGCGTTTTGCTGTTTTGTCAAAATAAATTTCATCTCTTCGGAGCTGAAACTAATTTTTTTTTGTTTTGTGCGGAAAGATGACAAAAATAAATTATAATTAAGTGAATAAAATTAACAATTCGGAGATTGTTTTTTCAGCAATGACAGTAGTCGTAACTTTCGTTCCTTCTTCAGTTTATCAATATTAGATCCTCAACAGCCTTCCTTGCTAGACATGATTTTATTTGTTAGTTTGAATGGAAAAAAGTGTTCAGCAAGGAATATTCCTTTGCAATGCGATGCGAAAAATATGCGGCAGTTGTTTTGAATAAATTTAAAAAAAATTAGGACATTACATTACTACACATTACATTATACATTACAGGACGCCATTGTTCTCCACGCTGCCCCCTCCAAGGGTCCGCCACTGACATCAGCGCACGCACCCCGTCCTCCCCTTATCACTAGGCGTTCGAGGCATTCATTTCGCTCTCAGATGTGTGCTGTTGGTTGTGCATTATGGGTTGTAACGAAGACTCAAGAACCGTGTTCATACCAAGTAAGATTCTCTTGAGAGCAGACAGCGAAGTTGTAGCTGACAGGTTATATCACGGGTGTCAACTTCAGTGCAACCCCTCCAGACCCCGAAATATTTTTGAAATACTAAATCAACAATTTTTTTAACTGTTTCTTTCAAATGTTATCAAAAATGTCTATTTATAATAGGAAAACTTCCTTGCGCTCTTGAGCGATTTGGGAATTGTTTTGAATAAAACGAATTGAAAAACCTGACTGTAGAATAGTGGAATCCATGCAACTTCCGGGGACAATCCTTTTGAATAAATTGAGAGGAAAAACGCATTGAGCGCTTTGACTGCATGCCCCCTGGCTCAGCCACTATCGTCAGCGCATCCCGTCGCGAACGGGGAGGCCGTGCCCCTCGCGCCCTCCCGATCGGTTGCCGGCTGCGCGAGCACTTACGATACGCCGGGAAGCCGTGTCCGCCGTGTCCACCGTAGCCGCCTCCGGGCCCTCCCGGCCCCACGGGCCTTCCGTGCCCGCCGTGTCCGCCGGGGCCGACAGGGCCGCCCGGGCCGCCGTGGCCGGCGTGGGCGCTGCCCGCGGTGGCGGCCGCCTCCTCCGCCAGGTGGCAGCGCGGGTCGGCGGCCGGGTTCCAGGCGGCCAGGCGGTGGCCCGGGCGCCGCGTGTAGTCCTGGCCCGGGCGCAGGTCGCGTTGCTCCACGTCCGACAGCAGGCAGTTGTGGTGCGGGGGCGTGTCGTGTTCGCCGTGCTCCTCCTCCTCCTCGGGCCACGGCCCCTCGTTCCTGGCGCACGGCGAGAGGACGTGCAAGATGAAACTCACGGAGGGGGCACAAGAAGAAATATTTAGACGCACTTGAGACTCGATGGAGGTTACCGACAACACAGGGGAGCCCGGAGTCCGGAGCCTGGGGCTGGTTGGCTCCAGTTGGAAATTTTTAATTTTTCATGCAACTTCGGTTTTGCCATGGCACGGCAGTTGCCATGGCAGTTTTGGTATTAGGCAACGAAATAGTATTTTTTATTCATGATGCTTGGCTGTTGAACTTTTAGAGTTGTTAAAAGTCATCGAGTCAATATGTGCCAACCAACGTGTCTTGTGGGTTACAAACGCCTAGGCATACGTGGCGGTCGAAGATGATCACCTTTTGCCAATGAACATGTGATGGAAAATCTCTTATAACAAAGTCACACTCTTGAATTTCTCTCCAATTGGTAGGCAACTGGCCCTAGACTGTTTGCCACGATCACGAAATACCTTGGAATTGCCGTCAGAACGCTATCCGCCAATGTTAATTGCCTCTTAATTAGGGTAAAATATCACATGTGTTATTTGGTTGTACGAGATTTCCCAGGACATCATCGACCGCTTTACAAACTCTAGAAGTTTGTAACATTTCGCATGAAACCTCCATATTTATCTTCTTAATATTTAGGAAGGTTTTGGGGTAGTAACAAGATGAGACACTTCGCCCAAAATCAACGTATTAACATTCCCGCCGCTTCCTGTGACTGTGTGGCTTATCTTGTTTCCGCCCCAAGACCTTCACACGTGTAGTCCGTTTGCCCCGTGCGCGCACTCACCGGAAGCTGAGCGCCGAGCAGAAGAAGACGAAGGAGCGGCGCGCGCGCGAGCACTCGGCGCGGCACTCGGCCTCCGAGCGCACGGCCAGCGACGAGCGCACCGCGTGCGACAGCAGCGCCGCCGGCTCCCACAGCGGCGCGTAGCACACCTCCTCCGCGGGCCCCGGCACGCCCGCCCCGCCGCCGCCGCCCACGTCGCCTGCGCACCGCACAACGCGCGAGGTTCGAGACGTTTCGCCGCTAGCTAAGACAGCTAGGTCGAATTCAAGCAGCCGGCTGCTCTGATCGGTAGTTTTCCGGGGTTTCTCTGATCAACACCAGGCAAATGCCGGAGGAGTACCGTAACAAACGGGTCACGGATCGCGCGTGATCTGTCCTTCTTCTTCCTCGTCGTATCTTACGCCAATTATTTGAAGAAGAAGAAGAAGAAGAAGAAAAATATAAAGCAAACCTGCAGAGATTTTTATGTCGTTAAAAGCTGTATATAACCCTTTTTGCACTAAACTCGCAAAACACGCAAAACACTTAGAATGCCAGAAAAGTTCATGGATTTTAGACTACTAAAACGTTATCCCAAGTATGTGGAGGAAAGTATACGAGTTTTCTTACTAACAAAAATTTAAACAAAATACAAAAAAATGAAATCTTATACCTCACCTTCTGCAAGGTAAACTAAACTACCGAGCAACCAAAAGGAAAGGAATATTAATTTTAACAATGACATGTATTATATATCATTGAGATTGTATAATTGTAAAGAACTTGTAACAAGTAATGTACATCAGCTACCGGGTCAATGACCCCCATCTCGTTTAGAGTTTCGTCCAGTTTCCCTGGTCCTCGAGCAAATGTTGAGATGGCCCCTTGTTTTGCTTCTGGATACAAATGTAACTTCTCCCCATAGCACGTCACACACAGTTTTGAACTCTTTTTGAGGTAAATAAATAAATAAAAGTAAACCAAACAAAACAAAAGCGTCCGTAGGCCTTCCCGGCGCTCACCGTGGTCGTGCGGGCCGTGGGGCGCGGGCGGGCGGTCGATCTCGCAGCCCAGGCCGAAGCTTCCCCGCTCGTAGAGCTCGGCGGCCGGGTCCTCGGCCAGCGCGCGCGGGCCCTCCGCCGCCAGCTCGGCCGCCGGCCAGTCCGACAGCAGGCACGAGTCCAGCGGGCCGCCCGTGGGGCCGCCGTCCTGCGGCCCGGGCCCGAACCTGCGCACCGCCCACGCACTCTTCACTCGTACTCCAAGCGGACACAATGGTTACGAAAGGGAAAATATGCTCAATGTCTTCATACTCTCCTAGGTTTGTATGCATATAGAATGGATGTGTGATTATCTAATGGAATGTGTATGTTTGTGCATTCATGAATGCTTATTTGCAGGTATGATAACGTGTATATACGTATGCGACACTGTGTATGCGTGCGTTTAACTGATGGGAGAATGTGCGGGGGTTCGTATGTGTGTATATAGGTACGTATTCCTATGTTCGTATTCGTATTGGTGTATGCACGTACTGACATGGGCACGTATGCATATACGTTCGTATGCGTAATGTAAGTATGCGTAATGTACATATGCGTAATGTACGTATGCGTACGTGTACGTGGGTATAAACTTAAGTGTATAAGTATAAATGCATATATATGCGGGTGCAAGCGTATGTGTACGGATCCATATATGTACGTATGCACGCGTGTCCCCATGTGTACTTTCATGTATGCATAAAATATTTATTATTTTTAATCACACATTTTTAATTTATTTCTGTACTTATTTATTTATTTCTGTACTTATTTATTTGTTCATTTATTTACTTATACACCTATTGAGGTATTGTAGTATTGATGCATTTACGTATTTACCTACTCATGTATTCATCCATTCGCTCACTCATTTATTCACTTCTTTCTTCCCCACGAAGGCGCACATGAGTGGCTGCGGCGGGCAGCGGCGGCGCACTCACCTGAAGCTGAAGGCGCGGCAGAGGAAGAAGCGCGCGCGCAGGCACAGCAGCTCGCACTCGGCCAGGCTGCCGGCCAGCGCCGAGTCGCGCACCGTGGCGCGCGCCAGCCGCAGCCCCGAGCGCAGCCGCCGGAAGCACTCTGCAAGGCGAGCACGCGCCAATCACGCACCATCCCGGACTGGTCGCGTTTGTTCGTACATTTATTTAGCTTCAAAACCAGTCGACATTATACTCGTCGACACGACGTATGGGGGAGAAATATAATATTCGAGTGCTTTTTTTCTCTTGGTCAGTGGAGGATGAAACACGTCATTTATTAATGATTTTATTATTAGCTATGATGTAATATATAACTACACCAGGTTAACTTTATATATATTAATAATTATAGTTATTAATATGTATCTCTAGTCACATCAAACTATTTTATATTAGCATATTCAGATTTTGTATTTGAAAATTTGAGTGGATAATAGTAAATTATTAATTTTGTAGTAATTAGAAAACTGAAAGTGTATTGTTTGCGAAAATTTCCGATGTTGCTAGAGATGAAGCCAATTGATGGTTGTTCGCTCGTCTAAATTCCGCTGAACTGAACGATGGCTTCGATTCACAGAAGTAATGATAATAATGCACTTTCGTAATACGATTGAAGAATAACCTCTTGTATTTGCCCGCTCAGTTAAGCAGACGATAAGTGTTTCGACTTCGAGTGCATATTGGCTGCCTTACTGAACGATGTTATGTGAATCCTCTTGTATCATGTGTCGCTCCATGGAGTATCCAACACATGCGAGTTAAGTAGGCAGCATTTGTACTGAAGATATCGGGTTTCAGGAAGGCGTCCAAAGACGGCGGCGTTCAACGTCTGTATGAGTATTGGTGATGTAAGTGAAATCAGAATTATCTAGATTCAAAGCGGGATAATGAATAATGGGGAGCTGGAAATACGCAATGTAACTTTGTAGAAAGGACCACGAAAAGCATTGAATTTTGAAAAATTCGCACGTCCTACATAGACAATTAGAATAAAAAACATGATAATTGACCATGTGGCGTGATTATAAATTAACGTATGAAAATATAATACATCAATTGATTTAATGTCAATAACGTCTCCAGGCTTTTCTGCCTGCTTGATGCAACCCTCCTAACTCAGGTGTAAAAGAGGTTGCCTATCAAATACGGAAGCAGGCGCGGGACCCTGACATCGATGGATTGTGACTACGGAATGGTTTAGACTTGCGCGTTGCAGTAGAAGGGGCCGTTGTTTGATATACCATGTAAGTGAAACTAAAAGGAATCGGGACCGAAGGGCTCAAGTCTGAGAAGCGCGAAAATTGAACAAAGACTATCGCACCACTAAATATTTTTCATTCAGAATTAATGTTTATTATCCTCCCTTCAGGATAGCCAACAAAATTATGTTAGTGTAAATTTGATAATAGAATCATAATTTAATAATATATGAAATTTCGACTATATTAGATTTATGATTATCGTGTGGTAGAAGTACTATTCCAGACATATTTGTACTGCTAATTTCCCATCCGCACAAAATTTGAAAAACAACCACATGAGATACCCAGAAGCTCGTAAAAATCCAAACACAATGAAGCAGTTTCGATAATGACTGGAAATGAAACACTCGATTGTGTTATTATGCCTCTTCTCATACTGCAAGTGCCGACGGAATTATCATACCAAATGCGACACTGCTTACGGCACAACTGGCGGCATGGGTAGCTCAGATAAAGACGCAGCCTGCCATACAAGCTGTTTATTTGTTCACCTACGGAACTGAAAATATTTTGGGTTGGTATTCTTGGTATTTGTAGAATTTTGCTTAATTTTGTTGAATTTTTTAGAAGAATTTTGCTCATGAAGCCACTAATTTAATATTATAAATTTATATTTTAAAGAAGTAAATTGTTTGCCATAACAAGCACATCGGGGTACCTAGCACTGTGTTAATTTGATTATGATTAGTTTTAAATATCTTCAAATATATTTTAAAGCATTATTATGCAGAAATTACATTTTATTATCTCTGGTGGTTCCTGTTAAATAAAAGCCATTAATTTATACTAAAGAGCATGTGCATGCCTTCGATTATCGTAAAAGTTGTCCAATAATATTGAATTAGATAGTAGCGCTTATTGAGCAAACGGCAGCTATTCTCCTCCGTTATCACGTATACATGACACTTTGTAGAGCTAAACGACTTATTTCATTCACGCTGACCTCCAGGCACTTATAAATTCGGTCAGAGTTAATCTTTATGAAATACAGCACCATGAACAAAATTATATCAAATTAGTCCTTAATATTTATTCAATCATTGCAATTAATTTTTAAAATCAATTGACAGATTTACTTAAATGGGGCAGATGAACTTTTGAAACAGATTGTACTTTAACTGGAAGCTATTCTAGACTGATGAAAACTGAATACATGGATGAATTTTTCAAATATTTTATAGAGTAAATTCAGTTCTCTCACCACGGAAAATAATGACAAATTTTCAATCGCAATTGTCACAGGGTTCCATTTAATATTACCTTTGGCGCTCTCGACACACATCACGCAAAATGTTATGTAGAATCCCTTTATACATAAAAAATTATTTAAACGTCTCTCAAATAAAATTATTCAGGAATTGGAGAGAACTATCAACTGAAAAGATGAATAAACAATCATAGTATTTTCCACATTTCTAATTTTTAGAATATTTGTTGTGGCGTTATGGATTGCGCAACCCCATAACACCACTGTCTCATGTGTGAACACTACAGAGGCAGCGAGGATAACAGCACGCGTTAAGGCAGAGGTACTTAAACGCGCGGCCTGGTATCCGTTGCCCGTACTAAACGAATGCGAACTAGCGAACTATGTTTTCTTTGTGAAGGTTGAGAGAGGGGAAGCAACCCCCCCCATCACGAGGTATTCCCCAAGCGCCGCGCCATAATACGCGAACCGCAAGCGGAAGCTCTCTTTTCTTGCCACACGCGCGCCGAGTAAGCAGCTGCTCTTTTGATGCACCGTTCGCGAGTCAACATTTTCGTTAAACATTAGTTTAGATATTGTTTGCCGCTGCAACGATACTAGGTAGGAGTATTCGGCGTCGAACAGACGTTCTAGTTAGTCGTCCCGAGATAGTGCAGATTAAGTAGTGTTTCTTCAATTAACAACACGGGAAGTAAAAATTACCCGCTGCGAAGGAAACATTAAAAGTTCTGGCTTGTAAAAGTAGAAGTAGCAACGAGCGAGGAACTTGCACGGGTATTCAGTGAAGTGCAAGGACATTTTTCGCAACGTGGGCGTAGTCAGAGGGCGCCGGTAGCAGACGAGGAAGAAGAAGAGGCCGAGGACTTGGGCGCACGAGGAAGAAGACGGATCGAAACGAAGAGAACGGAAGAGGCGCAAGAAGGCAACGCAGACGGCAGAGGCGAATCCCGTCTCTCTTACAACGCAGAGGTTGGGACGAGCGGCGTCACCGCAGCGACCAGCGCACGACCATCAAGGCCAAAGTGGGAAGTCCACGAGGTAACAGTTAGGAACCGCAGAAAATAGGTCAAGTTCAAGTCGGCAGGGAAAACTATTATAGGAAAGTGTTAAGAATTTGAGGACACGGGTGGCAACAAATTACAGTATTATAGTAGAAAACGTTTTGATGCGCTATTGCGTGCCTAAAAACATTTTCTACTTAGGACATTTATTATTTCGCTAGTTTCAGACACAGTTAAATGGTAAATTAGAGTAGTGCACTTGCACACATTTTGTTCTCTACATGTAATATCTTGAAAAAAGCGAGAGATTGTAAATTGAATTTTTGATTTCACGTGCAATGTAATTATAATAGCACAAAATTTAGATTTATTAATTTTCCAAGGGAATTCCCAGTGTAGTTTAGGGGTAATTATTTCAGAGTATAAATCTTCAAGTAAATTATGTGTTCATTCATATGAGTGTGTGTTGTAAAGGTTTTCTATCTGTGTTTTGATTATTCTCTGTAAAAGTGTTATTCTATATTCTTGGTTTCTGTCATTAACTTTATGCCACTAAGAGTTATGGTAAATTATACGCTCGTTTGTGTGGCAATCTGTGTGATTTTTAATTGTGTCAAGGGGTTCAAACCTTTCTCGCACCCTGAAGATCCTGCTCCCTAGATTTTTAAAGCTCGCTTCACAAGCAAAATCTAGATAACCCGCTTACGGCTCATGCATATTACTGTGTGTGGGTGTAGGTGGGTATGTTAGATTGTATAAATATGAAGAGTTGCAGAAATTGACTTCAATACTTTTGTCTCTGAAAATGTAACTCATTTCTGTTTTACATAGAAATATAAATTAATTCTATGTAAAACTATATGCTGATTCTCAAATATCATTTCTGAAACACTGAAACATACTGATTCTGACTCTACTTTTTCTATTCTCATTTTACAACTTTGGTATTACATGATTGCAATTAGTTTCAAAATAAGTCATTTTGAGTTAAATGTAATGCTAATGGAAAGAATGGGTAAAAGAAGTATTCTTTCAAAATCGTTTTTATTGTAAAATATTATTTCTTTTATCATCCATATGGATTTTCACAAGATTTCCACGGTAATCACCGAGTTTAGATAAATTGTAGTTAAATGGTGAATATTACAGCTTCAATATAGTACAGATGTTTAACCAATTATAGAAGTTTACATTTGAGAAGGAATTAATTATTGGTCAACTGCACACGCCTTCCCCTTTCTAAAGCTCGGAAGAGAATCAGATTACAGAATACGAATCTCGTATCACTATGAGACCTGTATCATTTATTAAGCTGATAATGACAATTCTTTAATAAATTGAATCCTAATTTTACTCGTGTTCTAGTTGTTTGAAGTCGGACCTGGGGTGCTACCTGGGAGACCTTGGTTAACGTCCGCTAGGGGGCGTGGGATTCACACTGCATGCCAGCTACCACATATCAGTACAATGTAAAATTTTAACTTATAATAGCTATCATTAGTCCTAAAAAAGTATCTCTCTATAAAACGCGATGTAATGAGTAATATAATACACGTATAACGTTTACGATACTCGGTCGTATCGTAGTATCACTTCTCATCACACTATTGGTACCTATCATTTCATAATA